CCACCCCCCAACCACCACCCTCCTTATTTTATCTGTTTGAAAGGAATTGTAGCAGGTTACCAATCCAAATTTAGTATCATCACCATCATCTAAGCCTTGTACACACCATATAGGGTTGGTCACATGAATCCTGTTTTGCCTTTCTGTTCTGTTTAGTGCCATACCCATTGTTAAATTTTAAGTGCTTAAATAATTTCTTACTACAATTAATTCCTTTTTCGATCTGTCCCTACCTCGTTGTAGAGAGAATGAGCCGAGTGGGCCTTAGTTTCATTTATTTTTTAGTAGCTTTATTTCTGCTGTAATGGGCCTTCTTTATGGGCCTTAATACTTATTCTTTTTATGTTTTTTTTTTCAAGTTAGCTGCCCAACTAGGGGCACTCATGTAACTTTACAATATTTTAATATTCAGTACATATATAATCAAATTGAGGGACAGAGAGGATCAAACAGCTCTCTTCCTCTTCTCTTTTCTCCCATTCTCTTCTCTTCCTTCTAAATCCTTTTCTGAACTTCTCTTTCTTCTTTTTTTTTTGATCGATAACAAAAACTTCATTGAATTCAATTAAGAAAAGATTACATACAATTAGAGGGAAGTAAACTGTCTTAACTCCCCCCAAAACAAAGAATATGTGGAGACTCTGTAACTTGATGTATCTTATTAGTATAGTCCCTGTTGTATATTACATATACATCTTATTCTTCTTCTCTCTTTCAGCCCTATATGAGCATTCTTGTARTTGTATATATCTTTTAATATATAAAAGACTCTTTGAGGTGGGGGTCAATTCATTCTTGACACCTCTAAGATTATTCTTGTTCTTTTCTTTATTAGGCCAAGAGTGTTGACATGGTATCAAAGCAGGTTGATCTCTGATCTATTTTTTCTCTCTTGAACCTCACTAGAAGCAGTAATCTTGTTGTATTAGGGCTGTTTTGATCAACCCTTTTCTGTTCAGTGTTCTTTGCGCAACCAGCAGGAGAGATTTCATTAGATGTCTCTTGGGAGACAATGATTCGAGGCCAAACTTCAGATCTGGTGTCACCTAAACCTGATCTATTCTCCCTACAAACAGCATCTGATTTGGTGAAGTTTTCGAAGGAGTTCTGATCTTCTTCTTGGGGCGACAACACTGTACAGTTTCCTTTTTTAGACTGCAACAGCTTTGGACTTTAGATCTTGTGTCGCCTAGACTTGATCTATTCTACCTACAAACAACATCTGATTTGGTGAAATTTTCGAAGGAGTTCTGATCTTCTTGGGGTGGCAACACTGTACAGTTTCCTTTTTGGACTTCAGGCCTTCTACATCAACCTACGATTTGAGTTTTTCTCTCCAAATTGAAGGGTTCTCTCAAGCTCTTCTTAACCCTACACTCAGTTTCTGGTTTAGAGATTTTTAAGGACTGTTTCGATCAGCACAAGATACCTCCTTGTTCTTGAAGAAGATGCCTAATGTGTTGGCAAATCACAGTTTTCTCTCAATCGGATGACTCGATCAACCAATAACCCTAGATCTGGTGCGTCCTAGGGTTTTCTTGCTTCCCATTTATTTGATTCAGACTTCAGATTCATATTTTAGACTCGACAGTCTTAAAAACTTGCCTTTTTTGGACTGTCTTCTTGAGTTCTTAATTGCTGAATTTGGTTCTCTTATATCCTTGTGCCTGGACTGCTGTTTTCTTGCTTAAATGGCCTTCAATAGAGATCATATTATTTCTATAAAATTGGGAGGATCTACCTATGGAATTGACACTGCTGCTGTAGCACATGGGAGTAAGAAATCTACTACTGGTGGTGATTCTTTTGTTAAAGGTGATTTTCTAGCATCTATGGTAGAGGAAAACATTCAACAACTGGTAACATCTACTACTTCTTCTGCTCTTTCTGCTATTGGCTTACCTGATGAGTTTTCCGATTATTGTGCTTCTCCTTCTCATATTTGGGTCATCGACTATGGAGCTACCAACCACATGACAGGAGCCTACCCTAACCAACCAAGTAACCTTACTAAAACCCATCACAAACATATTGTTGCTGCCAATGGTGAAAAGTTAAACATCATTGGTAGTAGTGATTTGTCTCTTAAGCTTTCACCCACTCCATCTTTCCCTCTTACCAAGAACCTTCTTGTTCCTAATCTCACTACAAATTTGATTTTTGTTGGCCAATTAGTTGATGAAGGTAACATGCTCATCTTCTCTCAGGATGGATGTTTGATTCAAGACTGAAACACTAGGAAGGTGAAAGGGAAGGGGCATAGGTTGGGCCGTCTATTTGCATTAGAGTTCGAGAAGTCTCAAACAACAACATCATCAACTTATTTCAGTTCCTCCACTTCTAATTCCTTTCTGAGTCATAGAAATAATGTTTGGGACTTATGGCATAAACATTTGGGTCATTTACATGTTGAAAAAATAAAATTTTTGTTTGGTTCAAGCCTTATTAAGAATAGAGTTCCTTCCTTACACACATTTGATACTTCTTGTGTTTCTTGTTGCTTAAGTAAGAGTCATACCTTACCTTTTCCTCACATATCTGAGCATGCTACCTTTCCCTTCAAGCTTATACATAGTGATGCTTGGACTGCATCTGTCACTTCTCGGCTTGGATACAAATATTTTATGTCGTTAATTGATGATTGTACCAGGTACACATGGATATACTTTCTTCGCCACAAGTCTGAGGTGTTCCCAACATTTAAGTTGTTTCATGCTATGGTATGGGTTTGGTTTCAATTACAAGTGTGTATTCTCTGTTTGGATTCAGGGGGAGAAAACACTGATGGAGATTTTTTATCCTATTTGAAGAATCAGGGAATACAAGTGCAAAAAAGTTGTCCAGATATTCCAAAGCAGAATGGTGTGGCCGAGCGCAAGAATGGACATATCCTTAGTGGTGTGAGGACATTATTGCAGGAGTCCCATACTCCACCTTCTTTTTGGGTAGAGGCAGCCAATATAACTATGTTTTTGATCAACTATATTCCTTCCTCTGTTCTTGGTAATATGTCTCCCTTTCAAAAGTTGTTTGGTTGTTCTCCAAATTTATCTACGCTTCATGTTTTTGGATGTGTGTGCTTTGTTCATCTTCCCTCTTGTGAACGCTCTAAATTGTCTGCACAGTCTGTCATGTGTGCCTTTGTAGGTTACAGTGCCTTTGTAGGTTGCAGTCCTGACTACAAAAGATTTCTTTGTTATGATCCCTTTATTCGTCGCATTCGTATGTCACGTAATATTGTTGTCCTTGAGCACATTTCCTTTTTTGCTGGAATTGCTAGACTGTTTGTTTCTATTTTGCTAAACTTTGATTCACAGGATGCTCCATCTCTTGCTGAGAAGGACCTTCTCGTCTTCTCTCACAAGCGGTTACGTGATCCAGCCCCTGCGCTTGCGACTCTCCTTCCTCCTGGTTCAGATCATCATCTTACCATTGCTCCCGTAAGTGATACCTCTACTTCAAACACTCTTCATACTTTTGTTCCTCTTCGTCGTTCTACTCGTATATCTAGACCTCCTGACCGGTATGGCTTTCCTTTAAACCATAGCTCTTTGTCTGCTGTCCTATCCTCCACAAATCATAGTTTTCAAGGCGCCAAGGCGAGGCTGGGCGTCAGGGGGGGCGCCTTGTCGCCTAGGCAATTTTTTTTATATAGAAAACATAGATCCTAGGGTAGTTCCCTAGGTACCATAGTCATATTTCATTAATAATTATTCATAATTATTAGGCGATGACATAAAGCCTCCTCCTGGATACTACAGTGATCCTTCTTTAGTATGTTGCCTCAAAAAATCTCTATATGGTCTAAAACAAGCTCCCCGGGCATGGTTTGAACGCTTTCGCGATGTTGTAGTTGCTGCTAAATATAGCCAGAGTTCTTCTGATCACTTTTGTTAGGCGATGACCTCAGGGTATTACCATTCTCCTACTATATATTGATGACATGTTGTTGACTGGGAATGATGTTGAGGGCATTCGTGAATTGAACCTATTACTTCATAATTCCTTTCACATGAAGGACTTGGGGCCTCTCACCTATTTTCCGGGACTAGAAGTGCATCGTAGTGATCAAGGGTATTTTGTTTGTCAGCATAAGTATGCCTCTGACCTTGTTAAACTTGCTGGTCTCAATGATGAAAAGCATGTTGATACACCTATGGAGCTAAATCTTAAGCTATCTAAATCTGAAGGTCCATTACTTTCCGATGTTGCCTTTTATCGCCAGCTTGTGGGGTCCCTCATTTATCTAACTATGACTCAGCCTGATATTTCTCATGTTGTTCAGGTTGTTAGTCAATTTGTTTCTGCTCCTCGTCAGCCTCATATGACTGATGTTCATCGCATCATTGGATATGTTAGAAGCACAACTTCTCAGGAACTGTTCTTCTCCTCTTCCTCTCCAATTTAGTTGAGAGCATATGCTGATGCGGATAGGAAGGTTGTCCAGACACTCATAGGTCCACTTTTGGGTGGTATGCTTTTACGGATGATTCACTCATCTATTGGAA